CCTTTGAAGAGCCCCCATTCCCCCATTTTTAACCCTTTAGGATCTATCTATCTATCTATATATCTCGTTTAGCCTCCAGCTGCTGCTCGTGCCAATTTTGTGTTGGACCATTTGTGGTCTCTCTCTCTCACTCACATCCTATCTCTCTATCTCTCTCTCTCTCTTTATCTCTCTTTTACTCTCTCTGTCTCTTTTTGAATTTTGTTTGTTTTTCAAGGCGTCGAGATCTGTGAACAGCGGAACTAACGAAATAAAATAAATAAAGAAAAAATAAATAACGAACAATTACGAACTTACGAACTTACGAAAGAACAAACGAAGCAAGCAAGAAAGCAAGAACGTGTTTCAACTCATCATCAGTTCTTCTGATTTAGGCTCCTTATTTCTTTAAATAAAGGGTGGAAGAACGAGTGTACCACCACCACCACCATCAAATATCGCTGTCACGAGAGCTTCGAACCTTTGACACTAACACCGATTGTTTTTTGTTCCCGTTTGCGATACACTCGCGGTCTGGTGCGTAGCGCGAGACATACAAGCTGGAGGCGAAGGCCCAAGACAAGGGCGCCAACCCAATGTCGCGAACGGTGGAGGTTCAGATTGACGTTGTGGACCGTGCGAATAATCCGCCCGTATGGGACCACGTAGTGTATGGCCCGATCTACTGTAGAGAGAACATGGCCGTTGGGGCTAAAGTTGTATCTGTTAAAGCCAGGTCTGTCACACTGTTAATGCTCCGTGCGGCTCTCTGCACGAACCCGCCGCCCTGCACGCAATCTCGTGGCAGTATATTGTTTCTTGTGCACGTTATTAATTGATATTGTGTACGAATTTCGCATACACACGCATACAACACACATAAACACGCTTAAATACTCCCAACCCTGTCTCCCACCCCCCTCTCTCTCTCTCTCTCTCTATCTCTCAATACAAATCATTGTTTTTGACATTGACAGAATTTCCTTTTTTTTTATCGATTAATTTGTTTACGTACCTTTCTTTCTACCATTTAGATCACTCTCTTTCGATACAGATGACAGATATTTTATTTTCTTAAAATAACAATCGCTTGGGAAGTATTTCTTTTAATTGACGTTACGAGATTATTATAGATTATTTTTCTAAATTTTTGTTTATTTGGATTAGAAAATTTACGCGACAATAACAATAACACGTGTCATGCAACAATCATGAATCAAAATAATACACGTCACATGATGAAAAATGAATTTTTAGCAAAGACCCGTAGTAATTTTTGGAACATATTATTATTCATTACGTATAAATCCTACGTAAAATTTTGTATACGCAGATAGTGAGTGTTTGTGTGCGTGCGTGCGTGTGTAATATGCGTGCGCGTGTGTGCCGTAAACAGTTTTTTGGGCATGTTTTACGACTAGATGCTTACCAGAAATCACTCCCACCAAAAATATACACTCTCACATTCACGCGTCTTTTTGACCATTGTGTATTTTTTGTTTTTTTTTTTTTTTTTTTTTTTTTTTTTTTTTTNGTGTGTAATATGCGTGCGCGTGTGTGCCGTAAACAGTTTTTTGGGCATGTTTTACGACTAGATGCTTACCAGAAATCACTCCCACCAAAAATATAGTGATCCCAATCGATACGTCGATAGTTGCATTTTTCTTTTCGATGTACTTTTATTTTTTTTTTTTTTTTTTTTTTTTTTTTTTTTTTATTTTTGTTTTTGTTTCCCCCATCGTTTTGCACATCGGATTGGCTTTTTTTCAAAATTTATATTTTTTCTCTCACTCTCTCTCTCTCTTTATATCTCGAGAGAGAGAGCTATATTTCGACGATGTTATTATTGTCCATTTGATTATGGTAGTAGTACGCGTAGGATGAAGCAACTAAATTTCTTTAAACACAAAATATACGTGTAATTCGAAGACAGTGATGAGAGTGTTCAAAACAAATAGCGCATTTCTTTTTTTCTCGTCAGAGACGCCATAGTTAATTTTTTTTCTTCTTCTTCTTCTTTTTTTTTCATTTTTAGAATACGTCGACATACGTTTCGTTTTTTCTCCCAAATTTTGGTTATTTACAGTTTCGCAAAGATTTGCATATATATTTTATCGAAACCTTAGATCAGCGAGATGTATTTTTTCATGAATGCCATCGATAATTCATTTTTGGGCATGCGTTACACGAGTTGCTTAAAATTACATGCGTTAGGTTTATCGTCTAAAAAAACACATTATGTATACGTAACATAATTACATCATCATGTCATACATTTTTATAGTTTTTTTTTGTCTCACTTTTTTTTTTTCAAAATTTTTTTTTTCTCTCTACTCGAGAGCGTAGTACGTATATTGTGTTATTCGTAGTAATTTTTTTGTCGACGAAAACGAATTTGTTTTGCCCTGTGTAACAGCAATGAAACGCGATTTAACGAGAGTTTTTCAGAAATTCGGAAATCCGGATGATGAAAAGGAAAGAAAGCAAAGAAAAAAAAAAAGAAAAGAAAAGAAAAGAATCGATAAGGGGCCGGGGTGGAGGGGAGGGGCGGGGAAGGGGGAGGGAAAATAAAAAAAAAAAAAAGGAAAAGAAAAACCACGGAGAAAAAACGGAAAGTTCGAGCACGGTAGTAAAAATGTGACAAGTTTACGAGAGTAAAGAGTTAACTATGACAAGTATGGCAAATGTTGCGTTTTGTGAACTTTCGAGAACGCGACTTTACAACTTGGTCCTTTCTTGTTATATTCGTATTTGTAACTAAAAGAAAAATACAAATGGCATCATGTTTTTTCGTGGATCCATGATGAGAGGAAACGATATATACTAACGGGTACTTTGTGTACGTCCTCTTTCTCTTTCTATTTCTTTCACTCTCTATTTTTGTCTCTTTCTCTAACACATTTCACAATTCCAGTCGTTTGTTAGTATTTTACGTATAAACAATACGTGAAAAACTAGAGACTATGATTGAAAACTAGGATTGGATTATATATCCCATTAGGATAATATTCTTGTGTGTGTATCATAGATAAAGCTTCGTATTATTAGTCTCGTTCGTGTGTATTCGTTCGAATAGAATAATTCGGGATATACAGGTAAATCTTTCCTTTCAACGATGCTTTTCGTGCGCACAAACACACACACACACACATATATATTTATATACAAAGCACATACGAGCTACTACGATTATGGATCTCGTAGTATTACTTGTTCACGCGCAAGCACATGGGTTGCAAAAGGTAAAAGGGATCGTGCTTATTCGAGCTAGCGCTACTAACCGAAACACACATATACATTTGTAACATCATACATATGTACGTATGTATGTACTTACACGCGAAATGAGAGGTATATATCCGCTGGACATACACGACCGGTCAATTTTCTGTTCTTGTCAGATTAAAAAAAAAGAATCTAAAAAGGAAGTAATGAATGACTCGTTTTCATAGGATTTTTTCTTTATGAGATAACGATCAAGGGATTAACATCTCATTAACGTTAGAAAAATGATAGACGTTTATTCATTACATTTATATGTATTCAGATAAAGATCATACGATTCTTTGTAAAGTATTTTTCGTATTACAAATATAGTATCTCTTTTCATATTACTCGTACGTTTAATCGTTACTGTACGACACGCATATGGGTTGTTAGTAATAGAAATAGGGTTAATTAAAACGAACAAATATTTTCACTTTAAAATATAAAATATTCAAGGTATATTATATAGGGGGAAAAATAATAAAAAAAAAAAAAAAAAAAAAGGAAAAAATAGTCATCGATTTGAAAGGGGGGAAAAAGAAAAACGTCCGAGTCGCGAAAAAATAATTAATTGGTTAGTAGTCGAACGAGTAGACGTTTAATGAATAAATAGAGTCATCGAATATTCTCAAAGGATGTAGGATGACAAATTTGACAGGCGTACACCATTGAATTCCTCCTATCACACATTTCGAGATATTTGAAAACGTAGTTTCTATAAAGCTCCTCTTTACGTAATAGTACGAGATTTCTCTAATGCCGACGTATTCTCGACTGACAAACGGTGCTATTAATTTGGCGCCGAGTCCTTTAGAAACGTATGGTTCACCAGTGTGAGTTTGTAGGTGGTCGGTGGGAGGGTGGGAGGGGGGTCCATAGAGATAGAGAATGGATTTCTCTCTCCCTTTCCCTTCCATCCTTTTCACGGATCGATGAACCGTACGTTCTGTTCGGACGTTCAACGTATGACTCGGAAAGCACATCCTACAGGGCCGTTCTTTTCCAACGTGCCACTGTGGGTCTGTGTGTGTATGCGTGTGTGTGGTCTGTATGTCTGTCTGTCTGTTTGTCTGGATCCCTTCGAACGATCTCGTTCTTTTTCTTTTTCTTTTTTTTATTTGATTCCCCTATCCCTTTTTTCTTCGAAATAAAATGAAAAAAAAGTATCTGGGATTAATGTGAAAGGTTCAATTTTTACGTTTTTTTTTCCCCTTTTACTCGTGTAATACATTGATTTTTTTTTCACTTCTCATTTTAATCCTAAGATATATTTCTTTTGTTTTCATAGTAAGACCGATCGAAATGAAAAGAAAAACGAACGAGATTTATAATTACATAGGTAAAATATTTGGATCGTATTTTATTAGGAGACTTTTAATTTATTGATGATGATTACGTGATGTGATTCTCGACAATTTTCGGAGAAAATTCTTTTTCGAGTTTGGGCGTTAATGAAGTTTACGTGATGTAACACGAAATCTCGTTTATTATTCATACGCGTGATAATTACTATGAATCAATCATATCTAATTCCCTTAGCGAATGTAACTGAATCGAGATAATTTATCGAATATTTTAGAAAAATGAACATTATTAATGATGCTATATGTAATTAGGAAGGTAGTTCAGGACGATGAATTAGCTTTTTTGTTTTTTTTTTTGTTCTTTTAATTTGTATAGGAAAAATATATAATTACATTATTAATTTAGATTTTTTCACAATTTCAAAATTAAACGAAAATAATAGAAAAGTTGGTCGTAACGAGTCCAGCGGTAAATACGAAAATGACAAACAGCCAAACTAACATTTGTCAGTGCAATCATTTCGTGCCTGAAACAAGGCAGAAATTGTGTATTGGAGAAGGGAGTTGTAGCTAGTGTTCATTATCGTTGTGTATTCGTCGATCATGCCAACTGTCTCTCTATCTCTCTCTCTCTCTCTCTCTTTCTCTCTCTCTCTCTTTCTCTCTCTCACTATTATATGGTGTTTTTGTTTCTTTTGTCGAAAATATATCTATGTTATGTATCAGGCTCACACTAAAAACATATAGAAATGTATCGAAACCCTTTAGACCACGGTTTTACTCTCATTATCATAGAAACGGAAAATACGGACGACGAGTCGGAAATAAAAAAGAAAAAAAAAAAGAAAAAAAAGAAAAACCAAAAAAAAAAGATATATTATTCTGCCGACTATAGAGAAAACTATTCGAATATTCACATAACACGAAAAATCATCGGAAATCGTCCGAATTCTTCGATGATTTCTTCTCGCTTGCAAAAAGAAACAAAAAAAAAGAAAAAGAAAAAGAAAAGAAAAAAGGGTAACTAAATTTATCGCATTAAGAATAAATTTGATTTCATATATTCGATTTGTTTAATATTAAAGATTACTTTTTTTTCGTTGAGTATATAGACGAAGAAGAACGATAGTAACGAGATTGAAAACGTACGACGATCTTTCTCGTTTTTTCTTTTTTCGACTTGAAAGGAAGTAATCTATATAAGTTGGAAAAAAAAAAAAAAAAAAACAAAAAAAAACGAGATAAGATTTGTAGATACTTTATTCTCGATTGACTTTCGTTCTTTAAGTAAAAGTTCCTTTTTTCGTCTTTATTATAATCGTATGTGTATATTATATATTTGATATTTCGCATGATGAGACCTTTCATTTGGAGACATTATATCGATAGTAAAAAGTAATAGTTGATTTATTTGGTTATATTTTTTCATTATCTATTATAACGATAATATACATTTCCGTGTTCGTTTCTGTTTAAAATTTTCCGTTTCCGTTTGATTTTCAAAGTCGATTCGATAATCGCTTGACCAGTTAACCCTTATTATTATTATTATTATTTTCTTTTTTTTAATATCTCATTAAATTCCGATAATAACGTTTAATTTTCGTGTGTATGTCTCAACAGTTCTGGAATCGAAAATAATCCAACGGTCTTTTACCACTTAATGCCCGGTTCTACGGCACAAACGAACAAGTATCACACCTTTTATCTTCAGCAACGTGCTGAACAATCAGTAACGTGGGCGGATATCAAAGTTAATCATCCGTTGGATTACGAGAGTATAAAGGAATACAATTTGACGATACGAGTTGAGGTATGTGTAGAATATTTTCAATGATATATTTAAATTATTATATAATTTGTTTTTTTTTTTTTTTCAATAAAATATAAAATAAAAGAAAAGACTCGCTATAATATACGGATGAAAATTTGATATATAGAATATGACGATAAATTACGGTATGACGCTCGTAGTATCGAAAATAATGTGCGTGAGATCTCGTTGTTCGACACGCTTTGATAGATATAACATACACATTCATATACTCTTGCGCTTACATACATGTCATATACGTATTATGTTCTTCCATAGAACAATGGAGCGCAACAACTTGCATCAGAAGCGACGGTTCACATTATGTTGGAGGACGTTAACGACGAGATACCACTTTTCACCGAACGTGAACAGGAGACCGTGCTAGAGGGTGAACCAATCCGTAGTAAGGTTACTCAGGTCAACGCCATCGACAAGGATGGTACTTACCCGAACAATCAGGTAAGTTTGATCCGATTAACATTTCTCTTAACCATTTGTTTTCAACAAAGTATTAAGATACAATCGACACTCGAGCATATTTATTTCCAAAATTGATTTTAATATCAAAACAATTTATCATTTCAATTGTAATTTATTCGTTATTACTATTGACGAAATGTATTATTTACAAGAAAATGAGACAAGATATTATAAACGATTCGTAATACAATACATTATGAAACATTATCTTTCAAATCTTTAATTATTATTATTATTATTATTATTACCATTGAAATTTCAATTGAAATTTCTAGCAATGGTTAGAAAGAAAATACGTTAAGACATTGTAAGTATTATTACGTTGGATTTTTAGTTGAAAAGCATATTATCTACGTGAAAAGGAAGGGTTCCCTTCTTCTACAGAGGAAATACAAAGTACTCGTAGAAATTGTAATCGTAGTTTCTACGAAATTCTCATACAACGCGGATCTTTTGAGAAACTTTGAGCGCGTATCTTTTAGGATTCGGAAGTTAAAGAATTGGTTACGTGACTCGTAGGTCGCATATAGCAAGAAGCTTATACACGAACCTGAGGATCGAGACTTGAAACGAGTCTCTTAGGAATGTCTATTATTCGAAGTAGCTACGTGGAAACGTACGATCGCTGGGAGCTATCGTTGCTCTTTGATATCCAAGAGAAAAGGACTATTTTCATGATAAAAGTAACGACGTGAGCAACCTCACATAGAGAAAACGAACGAAACACTTTTCTGTATATGTATATACTTTCGATATACCTCTACATTTGATCGGTTCATCGACCTAGAAAAGATACTTTCAGATATTTTCAAAACGATTCGATACCGTCTAAGATCTTTTCCCATTCTATTGAACATCATCTCATATATTGTTTGTTCTTCATACACACAATTTGAAGGAAAAATATGTTCAGAAATAACACAACCGTTTTATATTATTTCCAATACATTTCTTTCTTTTCTTTTCTTTTTCTTTTTTGTCGATTTTTTATTAAAACAAACTAAAGTCTTATTTTTCATTCGCACAGTGTTTATTATTATTATTATTTATCGTACATTACCATCACAATTGCTAGGAAAGAATTATTTACGCTTATCGAACATGCGAGAGAGAGAGCTCATTCATTCGTCTCGAATAATCATTCAATCGCATATCCTCGCACCACTGATAGGAAATAATTATTCAGCGAACAATTTAAAGAAGAAGAAGAAGAAGAAGAAAAAAAAGAAGAGAATCGAAAATTCCGGTAGTTTTTTCCAATCTCTCTAATTGCACCGGACAAAATCGATTGGTCTCTGCCAAGTGTCTGGGGCTTGCTTTTTTTTTCCTACTTTAAGGGAAAAAGAAAACTTATTTGATAAAATCAAAGAGAAAATAAAGCTTCGCGATTGATTAGGTTGGGCCTGTCTAAGCTCTGTCTTCTTATTTTTATATTCGTGAATATTAAATAAAGACAATATTTATAGATTGAAACACAATTAACTCGAATTAAATTGACATTTATATTTTATTCGCTTTCATGAGTCATCCCACTTTTTTAATCAACTTCCATACAAACGTACTACGTAATCACGTATTAGATATAGGATAATAAATTGAAGGAAGATTATGGGAAGAACAAAAGCCGTAAATTTTTCTTTATCCTTACAGGTTACGTATTATATAGTGGACAGCGACAGGAACGAAGGAAAGAATTACTTCGAGATTAATCGTGAAACTGGTGAGATTTTTACTAAAATAGTCTTCGATCGTGAGAAACAAGGCGCTTATGCTCTCGAGGTCGAAGCCAGAGATGGAGCACCATCAGCAAGACCCAATAACAATGGCCAACCAAATTCAGGTACGTCATGGTTTTTTATTTTTCTTTGTAATTTTACTTTGATATTAAAATTTTATTTTTCTTTGTAATATTTCTTTAATATTAAAATTTTCAATGGCGAACTGTCGCGAAACTGTAATTAATTAGATATATGAAACTTTTATTTTAACGTTATAATATTTTTTTTTTCTTCAAAAGATATATATTGAAACATTGATTAAATACTATTGCGATTATTATTAACGTAAAAGCTGTAGTTCAATTATAAATGTAAACATTTAGACAGTAAAATATTGATTATCGATTAAATTCCGTGTGTGTGTGTATGTGTGATATGTACATTAATGTAATTAAAAATTTATAATAACATATTTTATTTAGGCAGTAGTATTCTCAAAGAGATTTATTTAATATGTGGGATTACGTTACTCTTTTTCTAATGAGAGATTTTCTATTAAATAATTATTTATTCACAGGACACGAATAAATATATTTAATAATGATAAGTTAAATAGCATTGATGCATTATTTAAAGTATTACATTTCTCATTTTAATGCTTCTTAATATATATATATATATATATATATATGTATTCTGTTTTCTCGTTCAACTTTTACAGATTTCATATTTTTTCCATTTTTTTTATTATACACACACACACATACTAATATTTGTCCATGATTATCGAAGATTAATTCTCTTAGAAGATTTTTGTCCTCAAACAATTATTTATATAACCAAAGAAAATTACGTAAAGTAAGGAGGAAAAGGAGGAATACATTTTTAATTATTACAACGTTTTTCTTTTCTCATATACGTTAACGTAAATTAATCAAATACGTTAATTCGTGAAATATACGGCTATGAAATAAATATACCGGTCTGTTTAAATATAAAAAAAGGTAGTATTAGATAATGAACATAATACTTTTTATATTCGAGACATTTTTAATTTATAAGAGAACGATGTAAAAGAAAACTTAGCTAGTGACGTTATTGTTAATTAACAAAATATTTTCTAATTACTAACGATACTACAACTCCAATTAATCCAAATCAACGTATTCAAGTTAATGGTTGCGTTGAAGAAACTCGTATTAACCGATTAAAGTTACGCGTTTCGCAAATCTAAGTTCGTTGATTCTCGTCAAAGGTTTTTTATATCAACGTAAAAGTAAAATCTTCTTTTTTTCTCTTTCTCTCTCTCTCTCTCTCTCGCTTCAAAGATTTAAAAGAAGAACTCGTTAGTTTTTGAGAATACGAGCTTCTTTCTTTCTTTCTGTCTCAACGAAAAAGAAAGGTTTACCTATTTTTTTTTTACCTTTCCTTTTTTTCACAAGAAGAATATTTCCAATGAGTAAAACCAGGAAAAGAAGATAAAGATGAGGGATTAGGATTTAATTCCGAGAGATAACGTCGAGAGAACATAGAGGGAAAGGGAAAAAATCTATTCGCAGATGGAAAAGAGCCAAAAGCCGGGTTGAAATCAAACCGAGTCGTAGGATTTTTATGATCTTTCGAAAAGTGAAAAGTTGATTGGTCCCCAAAGCAAACGTACCATAGTAATGCTTTTCCATACTCCTCTCTAATTTTGCTTTTTTTCCCCCTGATTTCACCATAGAACGTCGTAAAACGTGTTAAACGTTAGTCCATCGAAGAATTCTAGGATCAATCGAGTTTCTAATAAATTTCTGATTGATTCTATCTCTGGTCGCGGAGATCATAGAATCTTTCTCATTGATTGTACAAATCGTGACAACTTACGCGACGTTTAATTTTTTTTGTCAATAACTTATGAAAACTTATGATACGTTTAGATTAAAATTTGTCATATTTTTAATTAAAAAATTAGACAGAAAATTCAATTTCGAATAGGAAGATGTAAATCTTTATTGATCTTTGAGTTGGGGGATTGAAATATCATCAAAGACTTCAACGAGCCAACTTCGTTTGCTCGACAATGTTTACTCGACGCGAGTAATCTTACTGGCAAGCGTATAACTTCGAGAAGTAAAAGGATTTCACGTACAATGTAGAATTTGCAAGTTATTCGAAGTGTAACTCAAATGTTACGCGTTTCTCTATCGATACGAGATATACAGGGTGTCCTTTAACCGATGACTCTCTACATAAAATACTAATTCGAAAACGTAGAATAAAATTATCATAGTTCGTATAAGGTTTCCCCTTTTTTTCACTTGTACCATCAATTACGGAACACCCTGTAGATATATATTCATAGGGTACTCAACTAGTAAAATGTATTCACTAGAGGAGACATTAAAAATGGATAAAATTGAAACGAAATTGATGTACTTTAGAATATATAATAGACTTACACGCGTGTTACTTACGTCCCATTACAATCAAATAGCAATAATCCGTGCACGTTAGCGAAGTTAACTATAGGAGGTATCTTGTTCTACTCTTGAACCAGGGATGAAAACTGTTAAATCGCAATTATACTAAATTGCAAGAGGGTACTTGGCACGTTGCCGTTGGAAAATGAGAATATAACGTACCGTATGCATGCATGTAAGTATGTATGTATGTATGTATGTATGTATGTATGTACAATCCGCGCACGCATTGTTAACAATAGAGTCCAATCGTTGTAAAATATAACAGAATAGGTGAAGAAGGGTGGGAGGGAAGGGTAAACGACAGTTTGCTCGCCCGTTTACGAGCTCGGTCTGATAATTAATTACATCCTTTTCGTATTGCAAAATAATTGGGTCGTAACATTGTCGGAAGTACTTGACATTTTTTTCTTTCTTTTTTATTTCTCTTTTTTCCTTTTTTCTTTTTTTTTTTTTTCTTTATTTAATAGACCAGCAAACGCTCTTGCTGAGACGTTCATTAATTTTCTTTTCTTTTTTCTACTACGATCAATTTTTTTGTTATTAAGGAAAATTCGATTAATCATAAGCGAATAATCGTGGCCGATTTTCGTCGACGTCAAATGTTGTAAAAAATTATTCAATGCCACAAAAAATGGAATAGCAAATGGTTAAATGTAAATAAGCACTTAATATGCTGACTTTGATCGAGCCACTACATTCGCTGCACAACGTTGCTTAACTTTCTCCAATTTCCTTTCCTTTCCTTCCTTCCTTCCTTCCTACCTACCCTTCTTTCTTTCTTCCTTCCTTCCTTCCTTCCTATTTCAAACGTATGCAAATATTATTATTTACATTCTAGAACGAAATATTTCATTAATTTGTTGTCATCGAAAGAACGGGCCGCGCGAATATTCATTCGAATGCATTCTTTTTTTTCTTTTTTTGTCAGTATTTAATGTAAAACGTTAATGAAATGCAAAAACCTTATGCGAATATTATATGCAAGCGAATATCGATTCGTTTATTTGCGGTTTAATAAAAGATACATCATTTTTCTTTTTAAAAGAGAGAAAGAGATACTTTCCGTCACGAAGTTTTATCGATTTACACTTTTCGAATACACAAACACACACACACACACACACACATCGTTCCGATTGACATTATTTTCTTCTCTCTTAGAAAAGATTATTTCTTGTATTCTTCAAATGAAGAGAAGAGAAAAATCTTAACACTATAAACTACGTTCGGTTATCTTTCTTTCCTTCCATTTCCGCAGAAAGAAAATTTCAAAATCGACACCAAGTTAACTTCCGTTTCGTATCTATGATAGTAGGCAGACCGTGAAGAGATAAACACGATATTGTGCGGGACGTTTCTAAACTTTCCTCGTAAGTTGGCAACAGGCCTTGCTGAACTGTAACGCGTAAAGAAAGACCACTGTAGAGTTCGGACATTGTGTAGTAGCCAGGATCAATATCATAGTGTTTTC